GTGCGCGTGCGCGTGCGGGGGGGGGGGGGGCGCTTGGGGACGCGGTCCGTGTGCCCGTCTTCACGCCGATGCGCGCGCGTGCGCACCGAAAAGTGAAAGGTGATCAGCTTGACCAAATGTGTGGTCGGCCCGGCCCCCTGGCGGCCAAAAAAGCGGGCTGCCTGCCGCTTCCCGCGCGCGCGCGCGCGCCTGTGGGGTGCAGGGGGGGGGGGGAGGGTGTTCGATATATTTGCCGAGTACAGACATGGAGGATTGGCCGCGGTCAGTCTCCCCGCTTGTTCCGGCTCCTCAGTCCAGGGCTGATGGCTGATCCCCGGTGCGCGAGGGCCTCCCGCGTCGCCCCGTTCGGGGCCGGCCCCCCTTGAGCGGGGTCTACGCTTTCCTTCACTCTGGGCAGGTCTCTGCTTCGTCTGGCCACGTCACGGTGATGACCCATCGGGCGCCATTGTGCCCAGGCTCCGACCGGGGCATCCGAGCATCCCCCCCTCTCCTCCTCTCCGTTTCCTCGCTCCTTTTCTCGCTTTCCCCCCGCAGCCCGCCCTCCACTCGCCAGTCCTCGGCTTCCTCAAACGTACCTTCCTCCCCACCGTCCCCCGCCCTGTGCCTTCGTCTGGCCGATTTGCTCGCTCGCTCGCTCCCTCCCCCCCCCCTCTCTCTCTCTCCCCTCCCTGGACTGACCCACTGGCTGGCGCCAATCTCCATGCACTTGCAGCTGAAAGCACCCCTCCGTCGCACGCGAGATTGAGGCGCATTTTCTCCTATCCACCCTCCTCCCCTCCCTCGCCCCCCCCTCCCCCCCCCCACACACACTCCCTTCCCTCCTCCTCCCTCCCAGCCCGTCCCAGCCCTCCTCATCCGGCTCGACCCTGCGTCCATCCCGCAGCCGGCTGACCCCACACGCCAGGTGCGCACACCATTGCCTTCGCACCGTTCCCTGGTGCCTCCCTTGCGCCTCGCGCCCCGCTCGCTCCTCATCAGCCCTCCTGGCACGCCTGCCGGTCTAACCGCTTGCGCCCCGCAGCCATGTCCTCCGCCTCGGGTCCCCCCTCGGACCCCAGCGCCAGCCCCGGCGGCCCGACCCTCTTCCGGTCGCTGAGCCGGCGTATGTCGCGCTCGAAGAAGGGCGACGTGCCGGCCGGGCCGACGTCGGCCCCGCCCCCCCGGCCGCCGGCATCCGCCACCGGAGCCGGGTCTCCCCCTGTCAGCCCGGACATGATCCCCCCGGACTCGGTGATCCCAGATGACGATGTGGCCGACCCGGTGGCCGCTGTGTCGACCTCCTCCTCGGATGATCTCCCCCCGCCCGTGGAGAAGGCCCGCAAGGGTGGCTTCTCGTCGCTCCTGCGCAAGGACACCCTGCGTGAAAAGGACTCCAAGAAGAAGAAGATCGATCGCAAGACCATCGGCCTGCCGACCGACTTCCGGTGCGTGCGCTCTCCCGGGGCGGCATTTATTTTGCATGCGCATGTGTAGAGCCAGCCAGCCAGCCAGCCAGCCAGCCAGCCCGCCCGCCCGCCTACCCCCTTCGCCCTCATGCTACGTGCCCCTTGTGCATGCCCGTGTTCGACCGGTCTGACCCATCGCCCTGCCGGGTGTCGCCCTCGTCGCCCTTTGATCTTGAACATGTGCACACAGGCACATTGTCCATGCCGACCGCGGCAAGCTGGAGGTGTACGACCCGAATGCCGACTCTGTCCCGTCGGACATCCTGCAGCCCTTCGATCGGCACTCGTGCATCCTGTCCCGCACGCCGGGCGGCGGGTTCGGCATCAGCATCCGCACTTGTCGCAAGGGCCGCACCACCATCACCCGTATGTCCCCCGGCAGCAATGCCACCAAGGTGGGCTTGGCCCCGGGCGATGAAATCATCGAGATTAATGACAGCTCCATCGTCGGCACGGTTCACGACGACGTGTTGGCCATTCTGGCCGACCAGCAATCCGTCAAGCTGCTCGTGATCAAGGTATGCCCCTGCATCGGCTCTCCTCCCTCCCTCTCCCTAGATCTCCCCGCCTGGGCCCCTGCCTGGGTACACATGTTACTGACCTTAAGTCAATCCCCCCTTCTTTCTGGTCTCTCTCTCTCTCTCTCCCTCTGCCGATGCATCTCTTCCTCTGCCTCTGCTTCCCTCTCTCTCTCTCTCCCCCCTCCCCTTCCCTCTTCCTCTCTTTCTCCGCTTGCCCCCCTCCTCTTGCTTTCACTCCCACAGGGTGGCGCCAATCGCCCCGACAGCCCGACCGCCGAGGAGGTCGCAACTCAGGCAGTCAAGGCCCCATCCGTGGCCGAGTCCTCCTCCTCCGGCGTCAATGAGGACATCGACATCGAGGGGGACGATGACCAGGAGGATGACGACGAGTCGCCGTCGGTCTGCTGCGTCTGCGGCAATGAGGCCATCTACCACTGCCAGGCTTGCGGGCCCTCTGTCATGTACTGCAGCCCGGAGTGCCAGAAGAGCGACTGGCCCGCCCACAAGAAGACCTGTGTCTTCCGCAAGGAGAACGCCGAGAAGGTGGCCGCCGCCAAGGCCAAGGCCGAGGCCGAGGCTGCCAGCAAGGCCGGCATCCTGGAGGCCGAGACCGCCGCCGCCGCTGCCCGAGCTAAGGCCGAGGCCGAGGCCGCCGCCAAGGCCAAGGCCCAGGCTGAGGCCGATGCCGCAGCGGCTAAGGCCCAGGCCGCGGCCGCCGCTGCCCGTGCCCAGGAGGAAGCCGAGGCCGCTCGTGCCAAGGAGGAGGCCGCTGCCCGGGCCAAGGCCGAGGCCGAGGCGGCCATCCGCGCGCAGGCCGAGGCCGATGCCGCCGCCGCCGCCGCCGCCAAGGCTAAGGCCCAGGCCGAGGCCGATGCCGCTGCCGCTGCTCGCGCCAAGGAGAAGGCCGAGGCTGAGGCGGCCGCTCGCGCACAGGCCAAGGCCGAAGCCGAGGCGGCTGCCGCTGCCCAGGCTAAGGCCGAGGCTGCGGCCAAGGCCAAGGCCGAGGCTGCTGCTGCCGCCGCCGCTGCCGCCGCCGCCCAAGCCGAGGCCGAGGCCAAGGCCCGTGCTGAGGCCGAGGCCGAGGCTGAGGCTGCGGCCGCCGCCGCCGCCGCCGCCGCCGCCGCCGCTGCTACCGCCGCCACGACGCCGGTGGTGGTGAACACTGACGCCGGGGCCAGCTCGCCGGTCGGCACCGACACCGTGTCCCCCTCCGGCGAGACGGCCCCCACGTCGCCGGCCGAGCGCAAGTGCGGCCACTGTGACGGGCGCAACCCCAAGTACCTGTGTGCCTGTCACATGGTGCACTATTGCTCGCCGGTGTGCCAGCGCGCTGCCTGGTCAAGCCACAAGCTGGTCTGCAGCTTCGTTTCCGAGGCCAAGAAGGCCAAGAAGGCGGCTGCGGCTGCGGCCGCGGCCGCGGCCGCGGCCGCGGCGGCCGCTGCCCCGGCGGCCGATGCCGTTGCCGCTGCCTCGGCCGCTGAGGCCCAGGCCGCCGAAAAGGCCGCCCAGTCCCAGCCCCCGACTCCGGCCAAGCCGACCCCTCCGCCGCCGGTGGAGCTCCCCTTCGATCGCCTGGCTCTGCTCAAGGCCGCTGACAATGGCATCTATGTCGGTTCGTGCATGCTCCTATCCCCCGGTCTTCCGGTGTCCTCCTGCTGGGCCTCGTCCCCGTCCTCGGCCTCTGTCTCTCTCTCTCTCCCCCCCCCCTTTCCCGCCCAGCTAACACCTCCCCTGCCCTTCCTACCACGTGCTCGCGAACAAACGACAAACCATCCCCTCGGCTTTCCCCCCCCCCCTCCCCTTCTTGCGCCCCCTGCTGGGCCGACACAGCCTTCGACAATCGCGTCATGAAGATCGGCATCCGCCCGGCTCGCGGGTCCTGTGTCTTCGACATCCTCTGGACCGTGACGTCGTCCCAGCCGCTGGCCCGGTCTGGCGCCCTCTCCTCGCTGGAGGGGATCGTCCGCGTGCCCTCGGTGCTGGTCGATGTGCCGATGTGCCCGATCCCCGGGCCCGATGGCCAGGGGGAGGCCCATGCGGCGGCGGTCGTCGCCCGGCTAGGGCACGTGCTGATCGCCATCAATGCGTCCACCGGTGCCGTCCTGTGGGAGCAGTCGCTGGCCACGGTCTTCGCCGGGGCCACCGGGCCCAGCACCCCGGCCGAGGACCTCACCAGCACCGCCTCCAGCACGCACTCCTCCCTGGCCACCGGGGCCACCCCCTTCGGCTTTGTGTCGATGCGGCTGATCCCTGGGACCTCGGCCGTGGCTCTCCTCTGGGCCGATCGCGCCGTCGGCGTGGACCTCACCTCGGGCAATGTCGCCTGGCGGCACTTCCTGGAGATCGATGCTCAGGGTATGTGTCCCGGATGTCTCTCTGCTCCTCCTCCTCTTCTTCTTCCTCTTCTTCTTCCTCTTCTTCTTCCTCTTCTTCTTTTTTGGCACCGGCGTTTGTCTGACCTTTTCCCTTTCCCCCTCTCCGTCGGTCGGTCTGCCTGCCCTTTTCCTCTCGCTTTGTCGCCCGACCCCCTCGTTCAGACGATTTGGAGCGTGCGGTCACCGTTCCTACTCTTCTGGCCAATGGCCAGGCCTTCGTTGCTGCTTCTGATGGTACGCACGCTCTCCCCCCTCCCCCTCCCTCTCTCCTTGCCTCTTTCTGTGCTTTTCTCCCTTTCCTCGTTTTGGCTCCTTTGCATTCGCTC